ATTTCTTTTATATATATATATATATATATATATATTGTAAGATCTTTTTGACCCACGTTAACTTATATGATGGAAAATGTTGAATGTTGTGTGGAGATCATTGCTTATAGAGTCGATCTAGCATATTATTAGGCTTAAAATAAATATGTGAGGTTATTTTAAAATTAATAATATTTGCATAAAAAAGTAAAAATATTTTAGAGATAGACCTTGAAAAAATAATTATGTTTGTTTATCTTTTCGAGATGAACTTTTAAAATGAATTTTTAGAAATGCAAAAAGTGACTTTTAAATTATAGAACGTTAAAAAATATATATAAATATTAATATATAATAGCTTTTTTAAAATTAAAAAAAAAAGTCTAAAGTGAGAGCTTTATTGACCTAACCCTAAACTGCCTCAATAAATTAATTTTGGAATTTATTTTTATTCCGATATGCCTAAAAGTCTGAATAGGAATCAAGGCTAATGGTAGTTTATAAATACTCTTCATCCTTAACTCACCAAAGCGCCTTTTTAAATAACAAAATCGTGATGGCTTAACGAGTATTAAAGCGAACAATACCTCGAACATGATGACCTTAACAATGTCTACAAACTTACAAACGAAACATTGACACTAGAAGGAGGGTCCAAGCTACTCTTGGCCCTTAGCCTTGATTTGGGGGCTTTTCATTGGCACTAGAAGGAGGGCCTACGCTACTCTTGCTTCTTAGTCTTGATTTGCGGACTTGTTATGGTATGTGTAAAACTCCCACATTGCTTAGGAATTGAGGTTAAGGGTAATTTATAAACACGTTTCTTTCTTAATCCACTAAGCTGTCTTTTCAAAAACAAAACCATGATGGTCTAACAAGTACCAAAACAAATAATACCTTAAATACAGTGACCCTAACGATGTTCTAGTAAGCCTAAAAGTCTCACATCGATAGGAATTGAGGCTAAGGGTAATTTATAAACATTTTCCCTCCTTAACTCAATGAGATGCCTTTTCAAGGACAAAACCGGTAATTCTAATAATGTTAACGAACTTACAGTTGGAACATTGGCGGTAAAAGGAGGGCCTAAGCCACTCTTGTCCCTTAGCCTTGACTGGGAGGTTTGTTTCGACATGCTTAAAAGTTTCTCATCGGTTAGGAATTGAGACAAATGATAGTTTATAAACATCCTTCATGGTTAACTCACTGAGTCATCTCTTTTCAGGAATAAAATTGTAACGATTCAACGAGCGTCAAAGAGGACAACACTTTGGAAGTGATGACCTTAATGATGCCATCATACTTACGATCGAAATATGTTTGAATCATTATTTATTTTATGAGTTGATATCATTGCATTTACAACAACTTAAAAAGATATCAAATGATTTACATTTATTATAAAATATAAATTTTTACAATAAATAAATAAATTTAATTATGTTGACCCAATTGATGCAACTCAATCTAATTCGTTCATAATTAGGTTGAGTTGAGTTAAATTTCAAAAAAATATGCACAAACTTAATCTAATTCAACCCGTTAAATTTTGTTCAAATTATATAACAAATTCATCTCAAGTCAATTTAATCAGACCCACTTATAACTCTAATTACACCTTTGTTTTTGTATGTTTTGGAATGTTTATCATCAAGAAGTTCAATTTCCTAAATATGTTCTGAAAAAGAAAAATAACGATTTAAATACCCCAAATCAAATGCATGTCTATTTAAATTTTTCTTAAAACTCTGATCATATACTATATATTAAAACCCACAACCTGGAAGTGAGACTCTCACTTTTTCCACTTTCAAATGTTCTGCTTCGTCCAATTTATTTATGTATACAATTGCCTTGTTTTGTTTATCATTCATATTTAGTGTTGTATTAATTTGCAACAAATAAAAATATTACATTGGTGAAATTAGTTGTGAGATTTGATCATATATATCCATAATTGTCTTGTTTAATTTAGCATTCATATTTAGTGTATTAATTTGTAATGAATGAAAATATTACATTAATTAGTGAAATTAGTTGTTGGGCTGTAATTTTAAATGGATTCAGTTAGTTTTTTCTATGAAAGATAAACATAAATATTAAAAAGAATTATATATTAATTTTATTTTTATATTTATATCTTTATAGGCGAAAGTATGACAAAATGGTCCCGTAGCTCAGTTGGTTAGAGCGTTGGTCTTATGAGCCGAAGGTCGCGGGTTCGAGCCCCGCCGGGACCAATACCTAGAGGTAATTGTTTTTTGATCGTGTTTACCCTTGAATTTCACTTGTAAATGCTGCATATTGAGCAAGATGGGACTTAATTATTTTTGCATTATGAAATAAAAGAACCGATTTTTGTCAACAATCATGATATCATCTTTATATGTAGTTATTTTTCTTGTATTTTTACGGAATATAATAAAAAAAAAAATACCAACATCACACCCTCTCTAAGTTTCTTGGAGCTAAAGAATACTCTCATTTGTCAGTGAGTGAAGGACCGACTCTAAGTTATTTGATGTCTTGCACGAATAAAAAAAATAGTGACCTCATTAATTATTTGAATGTTATCTATAACTTTAATTCTTAAACTCACGTGTTAAACGATATACTTTAATATCATTTGCTAAAAAATATTAAACATATGATATATTTATTTCGTGAGACTAATAATTATTCTTAAAGACAATGCATAATGAAAATAAGAATTAATAATAATAACACATTAAAAAAATTTATAACAACCGAGAAGTGAAGACTTGTGATTTAATTTTGAAATTTCAGTAGAATATGAGATGTAATGATTTAAAAAATAAAAAAAGTGTTAGAGAAATTAGATATAAAAAAATATAGAAAGTTGTAGACGAATGTTATTTATGATTTTATGTTAAGAGAAGCTCATGCGAAAATAGAAAAAGAAATAAATCAATGATATTATTATTCATTCCTCTTTATATTTAACCTTATTGGTTGATTTTTCTAAAATTATAAATAAATTTTTATTAAGAAATAAAAAATTAACGATCAATTAATTAGTTGTTCATAATTAATTTATGTTCTTACCTAATATCGGTCGTGAGGGACGATCTGCCTGGCAAAATCGGTGAGTCTTCTTTGGTTGACACGTCTGTTGTTGAGATGCGGGTAGTACCTGCAAAAGAGACTCTAATGCTAGTTAGTATTTGATAGTGTAGATGTCTTGTATATATAGTACACGTACCTCAATGTAAATTAGAGTTTCTCTCTTGTGCGAGGATAAGGTTGACCTGAGCCTACGGCTGACCGCGACCCAGTAGACAACGTGCCTTCGTGTTGGCTGATGTCGTGTAGCGCTTGGATACCAAGCTCGGTCTTGGTATCCGACGTGAATAGTACAGTAGTCTCTCGAGCTCTGAGTACCTCGGGTCGAAGAGTTAGTACCAAGTTTGGTGAGGGGTCATGACCTTTCATTTTTGCCTCTTGGGCCGAGTGTCACATGTCATTAAGGCATTGCCTCGTTTCGCGAAACGAAGGCGGCTTATAATGAGGGGTGACGACTCATAATGATGGGATGTGTCCTGTCATTATGAGGCTCTATTAAATGCTTTGCTCCTTTGTCGTTTTTCATTTTTTAAGTATTGGGTTCCCTCTGTAGGCCACTTGCATTTCTCACTTGCACATTAGCTTTTTCGTTTACGAGTTAGGCTTCTTCGCTCTGTCTCTGTCTGTCTTCTTCGACAATACATTCGCTGTCGATTGCCAGGTACTTCTTTCCCTTCGTTTTCATCTTTCCCTTTTTCTTAGCCGTACTGTGAGTGATGGCCGGTGAGGAAGAGCAGGGTGCGACAAATGTTCTTACATAAGATCGGCTGTGAGGGACGATCTGCTTGGCAAGATCGGTGAGTCTCCTTTGGTCAGCACGTCTGCTGTTGAGATGGGGTGGTACCAGCAAAAGAGACTTCAATGCTAAAATTAATATTTGATGGTGTAGATGTCTCGTTGATAATGCACGTACCTCGATGTAGATTAAGGTTTACCTCTTGTGCGTGGATAGTACAATTTATTTTCATAATCATTTTTTATACATAATTTAATTATATATATATTTTTTACTTTTATAATTTGTAGACTAAACAGTAAATAGTATTTTTTTTCAAAATGCCCTCCGATTGGGGGCTTAAAGTCGCCACGGAATGAGTGGCTCTAAATATCATTAGAAAAAGTCAGAAAAGCAGAGGAAACTATTTTAGAACAGAAGCGGGAAGAAAGTTTTAGACGTTGAATTCCAGCATGCAAAAATATTACAGTTTTGGGAGAACTAAAACACAAGGAAATGAATCCGGAATTCCTTTAGTTACATGTGAGCAGTGAAAGTGAAAGCTAAGTCTTGCCAACAAAACGGTAAACAACAACACCAAGCCTAGACCCATCGGAAGGAGCATCAGTGTGCAAAACGTCGACGTTGAAGTGCTTCTTGGCCCTCTTGAAAAACGCCGACTCCTTCTTCCACCGCCTCATGTGGGCCATCACGAACACAATCTTCTTCCCTTCACTCCGACCCACCATCATCAAACGCAGCGTTTCGAGGAGGGGCTCATAAAGGTGGTCGTGATACACTACATCCGAGGCCACGATGAGATCGAACTCCCGCCCAATCGCTGCCACGTCATCGGCGTGGCCCCACCTCAGCGGCGCCACGCGCAGGGACCCGCCGGTGGGCCCCACAGCCTGCGCGTTGGCGTCGGCGTTGAATTGGAGATTGGGAACCACGTGGGGGAGGTCGGTGAGGGTCACAGTGGCGCCGAGCGTGGCGGCGGCGACGATCCCCACGATGCCGGTGCCGGAGCCCAGCTCCAGGATGCTGCGGCGGCCGTGGAATGCGGCGGAGAGGGGGCTGGAGGGGGGGTGGGCGCGGCGGCGGTCGAGGAGGGAGACGAGGGCGGTGGCGGCAGGCCAGAGCTGGAAGGAGAGGCCCTCGGAGGGGAGCTGGCGAATTGTGAGCGTTGATTGGATGGAAGGGAGGGGGTGGGTGAGGAGCAGGGGTTGATTGGGTGCAGCCTCGTGTACGGTTGATTTGGCGTCGTCGATTAGGAGCATTCTGAAGGGGTTCATTATGCGGTCTTCGTCGTCTTCATTAGTGGCCATTTCAGGTTTTCACTTTGGGACTGCGCCGTTAGGTTTAGGGCTTGTCATCTATATTCGCCATTCGGAGCCGAATCTTCTGATCTTACTTTTTTAACACTATATAAAATGTTTAAATAAAAGTATCACCTTTAAAAAGTATTAAATAAAAAGTAAAATACCTAACTCCTAACTCAATTCACTAGTTACTTTTTCTTATTTAAACCATATTCTCTTAACTTGTTAAATCTTTCACATTTTACTAAAATTTTCAATTAACACTCCAATTATTTGAGTATAAAAAACATTCGAGAGATTCACAAGGAAAAAATAGATAATAATATATTAGAAGTATGACCAAATATATAAATTTATTAAAAGATAAATCATATAATAATTAGAATTTAATTATTATAATGCACTTATAGTGCAATTTTTTTTTGTCAATGTGATACAATTGATTAAATTTTTTTTACTTCTACTAGTTGGATTTGAGATACAATCTAACTTCCAACATGTTTATATTTGTTCATGCAAACTTTCTTAGGTATAGGCAAACAATTTGTAAACTCACTAAAAAATTTAAAAAAATATTTAATAATTAGTTCTAACCTTTTATGAGCCATATTTTATCTTAATCTATTTTAAAGGACTTTTTTAGTTGAAAAAAGTTCTGTGAATTTTAAAAGACTTTATAGGATTTTCATGACTTTTAAGATTTTATAGGATTTCCTAAGACTTTCAATCAGGATTTTAATAGATTTTGCAAGACTTTTAAGTTAAGATTTTAATGGATTCTACGGGACTTCGTGAACTTTACAAAATTTCGTAAATTTTTTACATACGGTAAAAGTTCAAGATTTTTTTTCATACATTCAAATTTAAAAAGAGTCAAGGATAAAAATAATAAAAAATAATAATATCTGGATTAATAATAATAATAATAATAATAATAATAATAATAATTCATAATATCATGTCCATCTAAATAGCATTCACTCACATATTCATATCTTTCAAGCATTATCATCTTTTTGCTCTTGCTCCTGAGTTTTAATGATAGGGTCAAAATTATGATTTTCATTAACTGATAATATGAAAGATGAAGGTTCGTCCACCACTCCAATTGGAATTCATCATAATGACATTCTTTACGAAAAAAGTTATGTAGTGTTGTACATGCTAAAAATTATTCTAAACAACATTTCAAATTTTTTTATAATTTGTGATTTAAAATATTTTGTTTATAAATTTATAAATGATTAAAAAAATAGTGGGACAACTACTCTATTCTCTTATAACTAAATATGTCCCTTCATTTTATATTGGTATTTGAGTGAAAGTTTGTCTTTCATACACTTTTATTCATTTAAAATATCTTAGAAATTTACAAACATCAACTAGGAGGAAAAAAAATATGAAATTTGCTACAAGTACAAAATATTTTTTTTTTATTTTTTTAATTGCTTTCAATTATTCACTCATGAAGAAATATTTTTAGTATTGAATTCAAAGATACTACAATGTCATATGTTAATTTTCTTTTTTAAAATATACAAAAAAAAATCCTAATTTCACAATATAAAAATTAAAAAAAATTCATAGTAAAACACAAGAAATAAACTAATTGTTGAGTTATAAAAGGGGAAGGATGACAATAATAAATTCAAGAGAAAGAGATCGCAGTTTTTGTGCTGAGAGGTTCTTTCCTCAATTAAAATCCATTTTTATCTCATTCTACTTATAAAAACCTAACTCAAATTCATCTTTTATATATATTTATTCTAATGAATCTAAATTGATTACAAAGTCTTGAAGATCTACAGTTGATATTATAGAGATCATAATATCAATTTTAGCTTTCACTTTTCTCTTTTCTTGACACATGTTATAAAAAAATTACTACTTAAAAGTTAAAATTTCAAGCATTTTCTGTGTTATATAACTGAGGAATCTCAACTAAATAGAGCAAAATAGAGCAAGTCAATTAAAGAGAACAGAGAGAAAAATAGAACAAGTCAATGAAACTATCATTTACGTATAGAAGTTTCACCAAATAGGAGAAATGAAATGAAAACAGTAGTACAATATTATATGTGAGTAATAGTGCAATATTATTAGTAAGAGAAAAAAAATGGAGAAGACATGAGCATAGAAAAAAAAAGACGAGAAAAGTCACTTCAAACAATCCTCCAAAATATGATGGATTTGGATGAGATTGTTTTATGAATTTGGTATTTATAGATACCATTAAAAAGTTTTTCAAAATCCCTCTAATATAACAATCCTTTAAAATCCTAATACTTTTGAATACCAATGGATTATTTTTAAGTTGTAAAAAATCTCAAATGAATACCAATAGATTTTAATGGACTCTTAAAAAAATCTTGAAAATCCAGATTGTATACCATCAGATTATTTTTAAGTGACATAAAATCCTAATCGAATACCAACAAACTTTTTTACTAAAAAAAAGTCTTTTAAAATCCTATGAAATCCAAAACCAATATACCCCATTAATTTATTTTTTCTTAAATAAAATTCAATTAACTCCTCTTTTAAATCATTTTCCCATCTCCTAAATTATAATTACTTTTTGGTTCATGTTGTGTGTAATTTAGTTTGGACGGCCAAACTGCAGTCCTATAACTCCTAAGCCACGCAACCATATTGGCCAGGACAAATCAGATGAAACGGTGCGTTTGGAGCATTTCATTCTACACGCTTTCTAGCTAGGCCTCGGAAAACACTGCCCCATCGGCGATCGGAGACTGAACTGGTGAAGCCTATTCAATTTCAGGTTCCTTTTCTATTTCAGTGCTTTCGTCTAGTTCATCCTAATTTTCTTTCGATTGCTTCACTTTCATAAATCATCGATGCAATTCTGCGAGCTATGAAGTTGAATTCGAGTTATGATAAGAAAGAAACTCCATTAATCATTTATTATGGGCTTAATTTGTTCCAGAAATAAGCAAGATGATAAAAGCAGTGCTGGTGATGAACACGCAGGGGAAGCCTCGTCTCTCCAAATTCTACGAATTTCAGGTCCCTCTCTTTCTTTCTTCATTATTCAAATCCTTGCCATCCGCATTTTCGTTTATCCTTCACTTGATGAAATTTTCACACTTTTTCGTTTTGTGCTGGTAGATCAGCCCGTGGAGAAGCAGCAGGAAGCTATTCGCAATGTGTTTTCAGGTTTCTCTTTCCCTCTCT